CAGAAGACAACAAAGAAGTTGGAACAGCATAAAAAACAATACAAAAACCCCAGCCTTTCCATAAAAACAGATGAATGAGGAGGGCCAGGGCTGGGAAGCATATGCATAACTGAGCACATCAGAAATGTGAAGCTAAAAGCTGCTTCTTTGAATTCAAGTATATATTTCTGAACGCACCACGGGTTCTTGGCTCATATCCTAGCCAGCCTGTTAAGGTACCCGCTTGTAGGCATTCATTACCGTAATCAGAGTTGCTGGCTACCTAGTTTTATATACATTGGCAGTCTTAAGAAGTTACCTCTTGACTTTTTAGCCGTGCAACTCATGCAGATGACATCATTACTTTTCTTGGCAAACACACAGCACTTGTCATGAGAATGAAAGATGATGCCGGGACAATATAACGCCATAATGTAATAAGCCTTCACATGTTATAATGCACAGCACTTTTTCGTTTGAAGATCACTAAGTGCTTTACAAGCACCTGTTAATGAAGCCTCACGACACCTCTGTGACACACGGGGATCACCATTCATAATTCAGGTGTTTGCCGCCTCGTAGCAACCGAGTTTATCTTCCTTCGTGTCTGTGCCCCTAGTGTAAGATGGTGACAATCCTAAATGGGCACAGGAATAATGATGCAAAATACCAGTGCTCTCCCCCCTGCATTTGCACCAGACGATAAGTGTGTGCAAGGCGTGATATCTTTTGAATTTTTAATGGTAATAGCCTTAAGTGTTACCATACTATTTTGCAAGCTTGTTGGGGAGGGAAGGGGAAGAGCAATTATCTGCCTAGTCCCAGGCCACCCAGATAGCTCTAGGAGAAACGGGAATAGACTCCAGAAGTTGTAACTCAACATCCTGTTTGAGCCATTTCAGGGTCTTCCCTCACAGTCTAGCTGGTACTTGTTAGGACCACAACCTTTGCTATGCAAAAGCAATTGCTAAATAGTCAGCTCCATGAATTCCATGACATTACTATGAGTTTAAAGCACTGTGGGATGAGCCAGTAAGTGCTGGGAATTAGAGCACTCCTAGTTCCCCAGCTACCACCTGGCCTCATAAAAAAACAAGGCCATGCATAAGGGTGCAGAACGTGGAAATTATAACCATTTTCCTTGAACACGGGGAATCAACTCTCTTGGCACTTACACGATCCCAAATCTCTCTCTCTGTAAGCTCCTCTGACTTCAGTGCAAGACCTGCAGTATTTGGCGTTTTACCTTAAAGCCCCTGCTCTTGGAGTCATGGGACTGCATGAGAATCCCAGTTTTCTTTTTTTTTTTTTTTTTAAACTACATTTATAGACTTTATGGTTAAAAAAAATAGTAACTGTAAACATGAAGGCAAACTAAAAGATCCCAACAATTGATTCTATTTCCCTCCAAATCTAATGGGTTTTTTAGGGTCCTGACTCATGATTTTGGAATATGTTAGGCTGGCCACATGTTGACGGGATTCAAAACGTGGTGACTCTCTTGCCTGCCCAGTGAGCAATATGGATAAAACTACTGGCACTGTACAGGAACAGACTGCAATTAGGCCTCCAATGTCAAAGAAGCGGGCTACATAGTGCTGTATATTCAGACAGCGCGTGCTTGCAGCAGCTTGTGCTCGCTGCCCTTCAGTGTTAGGAAAGCAAACGGGCAAACAATTTTCCAGTGACCCTGGGGGCACTTGCCAGTCTTTCCCCACCCGGATCTGCCCTGAATTTATGTTTTTTTTCTCCGTCCTTCAAGCAGACCACCCTGCACACTCCCCTTCCTCAGATCAGCCTCACAGCCGGGCTTCAAACACTTCTACGCTTGCTTCCTCACTAAGTTCAGTTCAAGTGAGCTTTTAAAATGATGCCCACTTTTGCAAAGCTTCGCCGCTTCTTTCGGCCGTGCACTTCCGAACAACCTTCAAAGCGCCGCCTTAGCACAGGGCAATGAGGACGGCCGTGGCTTCTCGCCATTTTTCTGAAATAAAGGCCTTGGAGATGTCACAGAGCTCCCTGGGAAGAGTGGAAATGCCAGTGCTATCTGGTAGCCTCTACTTCACTTTATGCTTTGATAAAAACCTTAGAAGCAAACAACTCGTCTACTAATGCTACTGCCGCCTACCATAGAAATACATGGATCTCTTAACCATGGGACTATTGTTTAACCGATTTCAAATGCCTCCGTCCTGGTTTGCCTGTTCCCAAAAGCCACCCAACCCTGCCCAGGGAGGAAGGTTAACTAATCAAACCCCACATGAACAGCACAGGCGTGATATAAGCTGAACTTCCCATTAAAGAAATCTCCCTGGTGGAGCGAGCAATAAATGAACAGGCCTTCTTGCACGTTACCATCAAATGTTAATATGCCTTGATGCGTACGTATACATCCATATTATCATCATGAATGTCTTTATTGTTTTCTTCTGCTAGGCACCCTCCTGCCACTGCTTGCCTTTGGAGGTTGTCTGGCTAGATGATAGGCCCTTTCATGCAGCAACCTTATCTTCACACCTGTCTGAAAAGCACCTTGTGCAAAACCTGAGGAATTATAATAGAAGATGGCACGAAGCATCAAAATGAAGTGGATACTGGCCTCTCTCCGAGATCTGCAAGAGGCTCCTTTGCATCGAGGTCTGGGGAAGCGCTTTACAGTGTGATGGTAGCGGCAGGGTTAGAAGAACGCAGCAGAACCTGAATCATTTGCATCCGTGCAGTTTGCAACCGGCAACGGGTTGCCAAATGAAGGAGTCTCTCGGCTGTTTTGCATCAGCTTTTCCTTCAAAGGGCACTGCTTCTCTGACCAGCTGGAGCACAGCAGTGGTCTTAAGACAGCTACAAACTGGGGCTCTGCGCACACTTTTTGCAAACCCTCATCTTTGTAGGGGAACCTAACCCTGAAAAGTACCCAGGTTTTACTGGGATACCTTCAGAAACAGAAAAATAGCCCAGACATGGATGATGGAAGGGGTTCATTTATGGCCTCTACTTCAAGAGAGACTCCTGTGGTCACCGCATCCCATTTAAATTACGTGGCTTAACCAAGGTCAACGCTGATTAAATCAATCCACATGTAAAAATCAAATCAACAAGAAAAAAAAAACAAAACACGTAAACCCATTAAAGAAATCTCCTTGGTGGAGCAAGTGATAAATGAACAGGCCTTCTTGCACATTACAATGAAATGTTAATATGCCTTGATGCATATGTATACATCCATATTATCATCACGAATGTCTTTATTGTCATCGATTTCCCTTTAGATAGCTCCATCGTTGAATGGCCAGAAGTGCTGACCAGCGTCAAATCCAGCAAATACCCCTAGGAGATGAAGCTGCTCAACATTTCTGAAAAGCAGGCCCCAAAGTTTGGCATGCCTCAAAATTCGGTATCACTCAGTGTACCAAGAAAAGGCCTAAATGAACAGGAAGATTTTCTGAAACTTGGGAAAAAAAACAACCCTATGAAATCTGAGTTACTTAATCCATTGCACGTATAAACATATGATCTGCGAAATGGCCATGTTTAACATGCCCCAGCTGGGTACACCAATCTCCAAAAAACAAATTCCCGTCGTGTCTCAAGAGCCATCTTAGAGACAGCTTCTCATTTTGCCTTTCCAAGTGGAAAGGTCAACAGAACAAATAGGTTTGGGATGTAATGCGGAAGCAGTTGAGCTGATCTATTTTCAGTGCCATGACAAAGAAAACTAATTTAGTGTTATAATTAGAAACAGGGAAGGGAAAAAAAAAAAGCTCATTTTCCAGTAGTTCTTCTGCTGGAGTATTAGCTGTGGTGCTGGTTGAGCTAATCAACTCACAGCACTGGGGAAGTGAACCCCCCCCGTAAATTTTGTATCGTCGTACATGGCTAAACCGATACAGGCTGAACAACGTAGCTTCCCGTGTGTGAGAACTCGATGCTTCGAGGTGACCCTCACCAAGGAGCTTAGAAAAACTGGCTTGTTAAATGTATGGGATTTATTTTACTGGCAATCCCAAATTAGTTCACGTGCACAGACCTCTAAATCAGTTGATATCAGCTGTTTAAGTGTAGCTTGGATTTTTTATATGCTTCCTATTACTCTTTTAAAGGCCGAAAAATAAACGTTTCTTCATACACTTCCTCACTTAATGAAAGCATCCATTTGACACCCGCAAGATAGGAACTTAAAGAACATAAGTTAAATTCTTTAAAGAACTAAAGACATTTTAATTGTTAATTTGCAACTAAAGAATTTTTTTTTTTGCAAAAATCTTGTTGCTCTAATAAAAGATATCATCTCTATTATGAGTCCCAATTGCCTTTTCAAGATAGGGACATATTTTGATGGGGGTTGGATTTATTTATTTTGGCTGCCTTTATTTTATCATCTCTGCCTGTGCATCGCCTCTCTCAATGTTGTAAGCAAAGGAAGAGCGCGGCTCTAGAAACAACGGGCCGGATCCTCAGTCCCCCAAAGGCCTTTTTGTGCATCCGTACCAGCAGACATGAGCCCTGGAAGAAGGGAAATGTTACCTAGGCCTTTTTCAAGATCTCCTTGGCATTGCCAGGGGCATGCAAAGAGGCTACAATACATAGGAGAACCCAACCCAGCATTTCATAGAGTTTCTTTGCTGCTGGAAAGCGCCAGTTGTTATTTGCATTTAATTCTCCACCTACAACGAGGGAGTTCAAGTCAGCCCATGACCATGAAACCCACCCAGCATTGCATACCCATTCGTCTGAACAGGAAACCCCCTTCAGAAGCAAAGGCCGACATGTTTCCAGTGAAAAACTTGAAAAGGAGAGTTAAGGAAAGCCGCACGCAAATGGAGACGGGCGGAGGAAGAACCCAAAGAAGTTTGGGAAGCTGCATCACCTTATGAAGGTGTCTCTTCATAAGGATAAAAGGTCTGTTCTTGACTTACGGTAGCTAACTCCAGGTAAAATCCTAGGAAAGATAAGGCAGCTTGCAGTCGCTAATTAAATACCTCGTTCAGCACAGGTTTTGGAACTGGGTCCCCACTGGGCCATACCTTCATATGTTCCCACTTCAAGAAGGGTCCCGCTCTGCTCAAGCTCCAGAAACTCCTGCACAGTCAGGAAGTTATAGTCCACACCAGGCACTTCTCCTTCTCTTGGAGGGCGGGTTGTGCCTAAAGAGAGAAAACCAAAAGTTAGTGCTGTGGTTGTACCATCAGGAATGAAACAGGAGCCTGAGATCTCTTTTAGGGCAATGAAGGCATCAGGACATTAACTCTGCCATAGGTGCTAGGCAGAAAGAAACCCGCGGGGTCCGTTCAGACTCTAGACCTGCAGCCCAATGGAAATACGAAAGGAAAGGTACAGCGCCATATGCCCAAAAACTTGGGATTGCCCCATTGTTTTACCTTCCTCTGTCTGGGCTACGCCAGATGAGCCTGTTTGAAGAAATCTCTTCTATCACAAGCAAAGAGACATCTGCCGGCATTTGGTGCTCGGGAAGGCATCAACAATTATCTGACTGTTGCCAGTGTAGGATCTTATTTTACCTCCTCTCATGTGAAGTGACAGGAAAAAAAAAACCCCAACCCACATCTGAATGCTACACAAAATATATCCCTAGATAAGGCACCTTTTTTTTTTTTCTTTCAGCTCCTATTATCTGGAGCAGTTTCCATGTATCTCTGCAACTCATCAGCTCCTTTCACATTTCAGCTGAATATCCCCTTTCTCCCTTGCCTGTAGCTCTTATTTTATCTTTATTATTGCTAATATTTTTCACTGAGTACTGGAAAGGTTATGAAATGCAAACAAATGCACATAAATACGCGCAGACCACACAATGTAATGTGGATATAACATATAAACAACTGGTAAGATGAATTTGCCTGAACTTTCATTCATCCCATTCAAGAAACACGCCTCATTTTAAACAGTCATCTCTGAATCCCACATGCTTTCTAAAAACCAGGGCTTGGTTGTTGTTTTTTAAACCCTCAACAGAGTAAGATTACCAATTTAAACACTCAAGAAGTGTTTGAAAACACAAGCCGGTGAAGCTTCTCAAGGCGAACACCCCTCCTCTTCATTGCATGGCTCCTGCTACCCCTCTCCCCTTGAGCCCCACACTGCTGTGGGATTTCTGCCACCTTGGACCATGGTGCTGGCTGCTACTGGGTATGTCTACACGTGCGCTTTAATGTCCATTAGCTTATTTTACTGCACATTAAGGCGTCATGTAAAAAATTGTGCTAATACGCTAATGTGCAGTAAAAATTGGCTACTGCACAGTGGGTGCCACTAAAAAAGCATGTGCTTTTCCTGCTGCGCATTAGGACAGCCTAATGCACACTTATTTAGTACCTCACATTAGAGATACTACATTTAATGCACAGTAGCAAAACTGCATTAATGAATGTGTAGATGCGCCCGCTGTCACTGGCACTACACTTAAATGTGCCAGTGGTCATGCCCTCCCCATTCAGTCATGCCTCTATGACCTTCAGATTAGATTAAATGATTGCAATGCTTTCTCTGAGGGGCTACCCTTGAAAACACACTGAAAACTTATTATAACATAACAGACAAGGGGGGTTGAAGGGACCTCAGGGGGTCACATCTAGTCCAAACCCCTGCTCCAAGCAGGACCAGCCCCAACTACATCATCCCCAACTACATCATCCTTCACCCTTGGAGGTATTTAAGACCCAGCTAGACCTTTGTCCAAGGACAGAGAGTCCACCACCAACCTGGGTAACCTGCTCCTGTGCTTCTCCACCCTCCTAGTGAGAAAATTCTTCCTAATATCCAACTAAACTTCCCTTGCTGCAATGTGAGTCCATCGCTCCTTGTCCTGTCATCTGCCCCCACTGAGAACAGTCCAGCTCCATCCTCTTTGCACCCACCCTTCAAGGATTTGATGGCTGCTGTCAAATTCCCCCTCAGTCTTCTCCTCTGCAGACTAAATCAGCCCACTTCCCTCAGCCTCTCCTCCCAAGTCATGTTGTCCAACCCCCAAACCATTTTCATTGCTCTCCACTGGACTCTTTCCAATTTGTCCACATCCTTTCTGTAGTGGGGGGCCCAAAACTGGACTAACGTCAACTAGCACAGCCCATTTCTTCACTACAATTGATCCATATAGATTCTCCATGAACCACACTGGATCCCTTTTTGCTG